CAAGAAGATGTGGTTTATCTATACCATGGAATACTACATGGCAATGAGAAACAATGAAATCTGGCCATGTGTAGCAACATGGATGGACCTTGAGGGTGTTATGCTGAGCGAAATAAGCCAGGCAGAGAAGGACAAATATCACATGTTTGCACGTATAGGAGGATTAGGAGGAACTTAACAGAGGACCAAGGGGGAGAAGAAGGGGGGAAATAGTGGGGGAGAGGGAGGGAGGCAAACCATGAAAGACTCTTGAATGCTGAGAACAAACTGAGGACTCATGGGGGTGGGGGGAGATGGGCATGGAGGAGGGCACTTGTGGGGATGAGCACTGGGTGTTATATGGAAACCAACTTGACAATAAACTATTCGTAAAAAAATAATAATAATAAAATAAAAACAAACCCTGCTGATGGTAGAGAATGTACCCCATAAGGGGGCACTATCGAGCTACATTTCTCCAATCACATAGAAAGAGCAGGAAAACCAAAGAAGTGTTTACTGGGTGCCAAGCACTGTTCTGGGTGCTTTGAATATATAAACTAATTTAACCCTCCCAGCCTAGGAGGGAGGCACACTTGTTACCCCATTTTATTGTTGAGAAAAGTGAAGTAACTACCACCAGGGCACACAGCAGTTAGTAGTGGAGCTAGGATACAATTCAGACCATCTGGTTCTAAATCTGCTCTTTTAATCTCCATAGTATACTGTCTCCCTGATGTTATTTATTTACCTTCATTCTTGCACAATGGGCAATTAGATCAGTTACAGTCAAACTGAAAACTAATTATCATAAACTTTTCCTACTTTGTGTGTCTGGCTTTCACTTAAAAATACTACATCTACTTTATCTAAAAGTACAATAAAATTACATTTACAAAATAATAGAGACTGCTTCTAATGAGATAGAGTTTATTTCATAAGGAAGTAAATACCACAGTGCTGAACTTAAATCTAACAGAATGCAAAATGTAAAGAAGTAATCAAAATAGGCAGAATTTATTAATTTGAAATTGTAATTTTTTTTGTAAAATCAGACAACAGCATTTAAAATTTTTTTACCATTCATTCATTTTTAAGAGACAGAGACAGAGCATAGGAGGTGGGACGAGGGGGGAGGGGGGGGACACAGAATCCAAAGGAGATCCAGGCTCTGAGCTGTCAGCACAGAGCTGGACGCGAATCTCAAACCCACAGACTACAGGATCATGACCTGAGCCAAAGTCAGGCGCTTAACTGACTGAGCCACCCAGGCGCCCCCAGACAATAGCATTTAAACAAACAAATGAATAATGCTGCCATGAAATAAACATTAAATCCCATTACAAAGGTGATTATTACCTCCTAATGTGACATTTCCATGTAGAAATCGTCCTTGATAAATAAGTCGTAGAATATTTGGACTGCTGACCTGCTCTTCTTCCCAGTCTGAAAAGAACAAGTGAACTCATCAGGTGTATTTAGACAGAGTTAAGGTAGCATTTCATTGTTCAAAAAATTCAGATGCAAATCGGATAGAGAACACATCAAAGAAGACACTTGGAGCTCCCAATAAAGGGACAATCACCGCACATACAGTCAGTCTATGCAGACCTGGTCTCAGTAGTACTCCTCATTAAATAACAGCTACAGACAGACTAGTGTTTGCTTCTTAAAGAATAAAATACAGTCCTGAAATTTAAAAATTAAAACAACTAAGTTGGGGAAAAAAATATAATCCTAGGTAAAGTGAAATGTCATTTGAAAATTAATTGCTAGTACCAGTAATTAACAAAGAATATTATAATGTTCCAATATCTGTACCTTTAAAATATATGTCTAGAGCTATAAACAATTTAACAAATATTTTAATATTCTGATATAGAGAATAACAAAAAATTATACCTCAATAAAACTGACAAAAATTTTTAAAATAAAAAAAATTAACAATGTTTACTTCTGGACAATGTTGATTTATTACATGGTCTTCTGAAGCCAAATGATAAACATTATAGAAGACACAACTTTTAGTTCACTTTGCCCACATATTGGAAGAAACTCGAAAAATAACATATATTAGAAGATACTACACAAATATGAAAGCTAGGGAAGTATACAAAGAAAATCAGAAGACAAACTGGTGAGTTGTATGGGTAACAGAATATTTCATTTTGTGTATAATGTATGTTATAGTGAAATATGGAATACTGTTCTGCTAAAATAATGATTTAATAAGGACTGGTAGAGTGACAGTGTCCGGGGTTAGTAATTTCACTAGCTGGTGGACATACTACTTTAAGTTCTGACTGTGACAAAGATTTGAGAATTCCAGTATCATCTTGCTCAAGAATTCTAGTATGATGCGTTTGTTTCCCACAGATGCTATTACCAGGAGGTAGCTATCAATAACGGGACGAGTTTAAAATATCCTAAAGAGAAGTGACAGATAAGTAGAGCATTTTCCTTCTGAGTGTTCAAAGTGATGAGTATGAACTTGATAAAAGCGTGCCCCCTACTGTCTCCACACGACAGAAATCCGAGGGGAGAGAAGAGCCAAGGGCGGCAGTCATTTCTTCCCCAGTTCCCAGTGCCATTTCTCTGGACCTTTTCCCCACCCTTGCGTGCCTCTGTTGCCTTCTGATGCGAGCGCCCTCAGGTCCCTCTTCTTCTAGAAGAAAGATCAACTAAGCCTTTAACACTTTAGTATGGATGACTCTGAATTCATTGCATCCCAAATCACTATTTCTGGTCAAGATGGACTGTCCATATACATAAAGACAAATGACAGTGTCTAACTCACTGGAAAAAATTCTTCTAAAGTATTTAAAGTACTGTTTTGAGATGCAAAAACTTAAAGCTATACACTTCATTATTTTATGAATGTTGTGAGTCCCATGTACTTCATTGGTTTAATATGCTATCTATCTTCCCCACTCAGAGAATCTAAAAGTTAGAGAGACCTATAGGAAAACAATGCTTTAGGGAGGGATTTCAGCAGCTAGTAACATATATTTAGTGGCTATTTTTTTACACCCCCGACCAGTAAGAGCTAGGTGTCTGACGATTCCATCTAGTAGCAATATTCCGCTAAATTGCCAAAGAGTAGACCAAGGAAAACGAACTCTTGCCAAAAATATATTGCACCAAGTGTTTTTTTCCTACTCATTTAATATTTACTATACTTTCATTATTAGCACCAACAAATATTGACATGTGCTGACCTTTAGTGTATTGAGATAAAATGTAGAACTAGATTTTTAATTTAAATATTTTCTATAAAATGAAAATGATTTATTCCTATTCCCTGTACTGTCTAAAATTGCAGAGCAGAAGTGGTAAACTTAGGAAAGGCTGGACTCAAAAGTCTGCATGTGAAAATAAGTGACGTAGGATTGATACAACCTCAGTGCTGGTGAAGGGCTGGTTCATTCGTATGGGACACCATTTATGGTGAGCACCTGCTTGAGTCCTGTCTGTGTACTCCTAATCAGAATTTTTAAGGAATTAAAAGCAATTTTAATATCTAAGTCAAACCACTAAGAAGGTAAAAGCTTTTTTTTTTTAACCACAGGTTATAATGCTGCCCTCCACAAATAAATTTTTAAGAGGGACGGCCCTCTTTTGTCTTGTGTAACATTTTCTACAATACCATAGATGCCCAAACTGACCTTTACTCTCTCCTCCCCAAATAAGAGAAATAATCTTCTGTATCATATTTAGTAAAACATCACTATTAGGTATTTAAAGATGCTTTTCTGGGGCACCCAGGTGGCTCAGTCGGTTAAACATCCGACTTTGGCTTCGGTCATGATCTCATGGTTCATGAGTTTGAGCCCCATGTCAGGCTCTATGCAGACAGCTCAGAGCCTGGAGCCTGCTGGAGATTTCTGTGTCTCCCTCTCTCTCTGCCCTCCCCCACTCATGCTCTCTGCCTCTCTCTCTCAAAAATAAATAAACATTAAAAAAATGTTTCAATGCTTTTCCTATTATAGTTCTCTGTCCTGCCTAGCTATTAAGAAAATCCAACATTCTAAGAGCCCCAAATTTAATCTACTTCTGCTTTTCTGAAATTCTTTCTTACCTCTAATCTTTAGCTTTAGTCCCTTCCTGATTTAGGAACTAGCACTGACCAGTCCCTTGGTTACCAATGCAAAAAAGATCCAGTCATTTGAAAGTACTTGTCTAAATCAGTGTGTCTTAAACACAGGTTTATGAATCCTGAGTTCATGAACAACACAGCCATGCTCTAAGGGTCCAAAAGTCCTTAAGAATTTTTAAATCATGCTTTCATTTTAATGATAATCTGGAAGAGATTATCTAGATCATTCAAATAATCACCTTATAAGCAAGTAGAGCCTTGGGGTTTATTGCCCACATATGCAGTTTATGACTGTACTGGCGCCAAGCAGTACCTCTTTAACTGTCAGGAGGCTCATAAGAAAAGAACAGAGGTTTGCTAAATACATAAACAATGCATTCTTGCTAAGTGACAATTGGGTCCACTGTAGTGAAGGAAGGTTTTGTGGTGAATCTGCAGATAACTGGGTCCTCACACAGCAAACAGGAGCACGGGCAAGCCAAACTCAACAGTACCGTATTCGTCGTGCAGGCAGGGGGTTGGTTTTAGCAAATATACATCATCTGGGAGGTTAATGTTGTTAATTTGAACATTATTGGTTTTAGAGTTATATGTGCGCTTTCCTTTTAGATCTTTTTTAGTTTTGTGGTTGTATAGGAGTTTATAAGGATAAAGCATCTTAATTGGGTTTTATGTTTCTATCTTTAAAAAGAAAACTGTAATAAAAATAATCTGAATCAGCACTAGGAAATCTACAGGAATTTTCTTCCTCTAAAGGAGTTCCATATATTATTTAAGGTTCAGAAACACTGATCTGATTGATTCATTTTGAATACACTGTGTTCTTTGTTGAAATGAGTCTTGCCCTTTAAAAGTCCAAATTGTTTTGTCTAGTAAATTTAAGTTAAATCAGCTGAAATGTTCATATCACTATAATACATGCCCCAAAAAGAATCAAGATGACTTAGACAAAGTTCAAAGGGAAAACACAAGCTGAAGACTCGCTTTAGGGTGGCACGACAAAGTCGTACTACATGGAAAAGAATCGGAGAAAGGAAGAAAGATCACCCTCCCCTCTCTCAAATTTTGTTCTGTTATGGATACTGGCTTGAAAATGCAATGCATAAATAGATTTTATACCTTTGCCCCTTGTAGTTCAGAGGACATATGAAGTGACATGAATTAGAAGCTTTGTATTAAACTCAGTGCTAAATTGATTGCATATAGAACACTGGGAAAGCATTATAATTTTTTAAAAACAGTTCTCTTCCCTCTTACTTTGTGTTCTGTATAAACAGATTTACTGATACGAAAGTGTGTTCATGTGTTAGCTATGTGCTGGTTTCCTTTTAAAAATTAATTTTCACTTACATTAAAATGGTTCTAAGGCAAAAACAGGGGTTCTGCAGACTGGCTCCTTCCCCACTTTGCAGTGAGGCAGCAGAGGAGCCAAGTCTAAGGATGAACACAGTGCTCCTTCCCCTTTAACTCTCAAGCCCGAGAGCCTCAATCCTAACTTTTATATCTTTATTAGTTTTTCAAAACGTTTGTGAAACAAGGTAGGGTATCAAGAACTAACATTATTCATTCTCAAGAGAAAAACACCACTCACCCATTGGCCAATTGTCATACACATGCTTCGCAATGTCAGAGGCAGAATCATTAGGAGAAAACAGGAACTCTTTTGTTTTCCCGCTTACCAAGATGAGGCGCAAATTTATCTGAAAGAAGACAATGATTCTTTTAATATAAATCTTGACATTTTTAAAGTAAAAAAATGACTCCTAGGCTTTTCATTCCAATCTAAAGTATTCTAAAGTATTATCAAATGCCATTTTTTGGTTATTTATTTAAATTCTGCAAAGTCTCTCTTTTTTTAAAGGTGGGAATTTCACATATGATTTTATTTCCATTATTTATTATACATGTGGGGGCAGATATATTTGCCTTAATAAATGAACAAAGGAAAACCAAAATTCTTAAAGCTTTTATATTTAATTCCTCTAACAATGTTCAGAACTGGACTTTTATATGTTACCACTATTACTGTAATATACATATTTTCCATTGAAAAAAATAAAGTGTTGACTTTGCAGATCACATCACTAAACGGGAAAACTTTAGTTGATTATGTAGAAAAAAATGAAAAAGAAACAATAACTTATATATAGCATTTTATCCTACAAAGATTACTCAAACCGAAACAAATTAACCAGAAACAATAAAGAACTTTACAGGGGTTAAAGGAGAACTCAGCAATAGTAGTTACATCTATCCCAAATGCATGATCATTTATTTGGGGAGGGCGAAGGAGAAGGTATGTGTGACAAAGGATATACATATACGCTCAGTGAATAACCTAAGGTAAATAAATAATGGAATTAAAATTTTTGAGATCCAATGAATTTACATTTCCAAATAAACATTTGTTTATACCTTTTGTAACACATTTCTAAATGCACACTTTTTATTATTTTTTGCTATCCAGAATTATTTTGATGTTATTTTGAAAAACTATGGTATCACTCATTTCCCTATGTTACAGAAATTCAAGTGGGGTTTTCTATCCTTCTGGGCCTCTGTTAAGAGAGCAAATAAGACCTTCCCAAAAGTTGGGTCTAGTCCAGAGCTGCATTCTGGGACTGGCCCAACTTCTTTATATATAAAGGACAGAGAATGTCATTGTACTGGTTTGAATTGCACCCAATGCCAGGTTAGCCAAGCTCTCTTCTTCAGTTACCAATACTTTTTCTTCTAAAAAAAAAATAGCAGAACATCTTTAAGATGGCCAAGTCTACAATGAATAAACTGGTGTCTAACCCAACACCATTAAGATACCAGGTCACTGATTTACCATCTATCATCACCACGGCCAATGCCACTTCCCAGTGACTCAGCACTTTGAAAAAGTATTGAAAGTTATAAAATACCTCCTCTAGAAAAATGCTATGCACAAACAATTGCTCATTCACTGCGACGTGACTGGATCCCATATTAGATGGGGTAGATACAATATTAGAAATTATATTCTAACTGTATGTGCATTACATCTCCATAAAAAAAGTTTTTTAGAAGATAAAAGAAAAAGAAATCTATATTCCAGGTGAAAAGCTCTTTCTGTATGTTCTTTCTGTACGTTCAGTAAGAATTTCTTGCTGCCTTTCCTAACTAGAATGGAATCGGACCAAAGAGCATAATACAGGAAGAAATCTGATGAAATCACACGGCTGTAAATAAGTAAACTCTTTAAGTTCCATCTGAATAAAATACAAGTAATAGTTTGTAAGAATGATTAAATTTTAAGAAAGCATGACTTATTTATTTCCTATAACAAATTAAGTAATGAGTGATTTTTAAAGCAAGGAACCCAACAACCATAGAATAGGAATTTTAGTTGTCAGAGATACACTACTCATAGCAGTCTCTTTATATGTAAATATTGATAAATATATACTATACTCTCAAGTTATATGGAAACTTTTAATGGCTTCACACTTCTACAGTAGTATAATGCCCAAGAAAATTTGCCCCTCATAATGGTTCAGCCACATGTGTTTGTTTAACCAGAAAGAAATATAATTAAATTCAAGCCTCCTAAAAGATTATGTAAATGATACGAAATCTACTTTTTCTCAAAATCATGTTTTTAAGTTCGAATTTAATTTCTACTGGGCTTTTAATCAAATTATAATATTTAAAAATAGCAAAGAAAAAAGTGGGGAAAAGACTCCTTAGAATCTGTAGAGACAATGCCCAAGAGTACTTCAGATTTTCCCTAATATCCATCAAGGTGGAAACAAGAAAATAAATGATAGTACATCTTACTAGGGAAATCTGCACAGTCATTAAAACAACATGAAATACAGATCTATATGATTTTACAAGGAAAGATTAAACAAAATGACATACACACCCCACCGCATAAGTACATAACACTAAATGGGTTCATGTGGCAAAGTTCTCAGCATTTCTTATGTTAAAACTGATACACATCACTGTCACCAGTAAACTGGTATTTCACTTTTGTTTCAAAATCAATGGTCTAAAGAATTTATGTGCGTCTGAGTTTTCAGAAACTTAAGAAACTTTTGGCCTCTAGCTGGATTTGACACAGGTTAAAAAAGTTTTTTGTTTTTTGTTTTTTTTTAATTTTTATGGGTGGACATCAACTTTTCAGTTTGACACAGACCTACTAAGCCCTACTTATTCACACTGGCCTGCTCCATGCACTAACAATACCTGCCTGCTCCCAGAAAACATTTCCATTTGTAACTGTGGTGGAGTTTCAAAGTGGCTCTGGGCTACAAAATCAGAACAAAAAGCAAAGTAAGATTTCAAAATCTACCTCAGAGAGAACCTAAACCCGTCTGTGGGTAGGGAAGAAAGAGAATATGAAAAACTCTTAAGTCTATAAATACATATACCTAGGTTTTACCAAATCTTACAGTTAAAACTACCTACAACTGACAATAACAGTTAAAGACTGCTTCAGGAATGGGGTTTATGTCCCAAATTAAAAATAACAGCAATAAACTCACAAAATTAAGTTGCTGAGTAAAATAACTCCTTGCCCAAAACTCTTCCAGGGCCTGGTAGAATGCCTGGTGTATATATAGGTTGTGTTCAATATTTGTTGACTAATATTTCAGTTCTTCAGTTTCAATATTCAAGTGGAAATATAGACTGGCAAGGGACAAGCACGGAGATTTAAATCCAGGCCTCAGCGTTCTGGGATTATCAAATGGCCAGTGTGGTATGGAATATAAGAATGGACGATAATCACTGTTGGGTACTCATGTGAACATTGGGCAGTTCCAACATGTAAGCATGTCAGGCTCTAGATCTTCATGTGAGCGACATGTCACAGTGTATACACATGCTATCATTTAGTATAAGGCATTTTCAAAAGAAAAATTAATTCTGACCTACCATATTCCACATGTATATTGTGGATTTATAAGCTAAAGATTGGGTTATTGATGCGGAAGTTAACGGATGCATCTGGATCTACTCCTATGCTTATTTCCTCTAGTCTCTTGCTCCCAGGCTAGAAGCATACATCTGCCTCAGTATATAGTCAGGTGTATCTTAGGACTATAACACCAATGGAGGGAAACACTACATCGCACAGTTTTTTTTTAGAAAATAATCTTGAAAGCAATCACGCAGATAAATATCTGGATACACATGTGGGTCAGCAGTTAATTAGTCCTATCATAGTAAAACTTTCTCAAGCTAATTCAGATAATGTTAATTACAGTTACTCTGAGCAAATGTATGGCATTCCTATAAGTGTGAGCTAGTTTCCTTTAAAAGATTATGTTCCGGGGTGCTCAGGTGGCTCAGTAGGTTAAGCGTCCGAGTTCGGCTCAGGTCATGATCTCACAGTTCATGGGTTCAAGCCCCCCATCAGGCTCTGTGCTGACACCTCAGAGCCTGGAGCCTGTTTTGGATTGTTTCTCCCTCTCTCTCTGCTCCTCCCCCGCTCACACTCGGTCTCTCTCTCTCTCTCTCTCTCTCTCAAAAAAAAAAAAACAAAAAACAAAAAAAAACATTAAAAAAATTTTAAAACCCTCTTGTTTACAGCTTAAAACGTGATACAGCACATGTAAGTAACTGTCTAAAAATGAAACTGTTAATCAGGACTCTGAATGACTTCATATGAGATGGAGATATTATGTAATAAAATCCCCAAGGGATGGCGTTTAGCTTATCCAAATGAATGATACATTTCATAATTATTTTTGAGTCAAAACAGGATCATTAGTGAGGTATCTACCATGATCATTTTCCTTCAGGCCAATGGAAATGATAAGAATTCTTCTATGCATGTAATTTCAAGTTAAAAAAAAGGTTTTAGTCAAGCTGCCATTTCTACTTGTCAGATTATAGCAATTTGGAGAAATCACATCTAGAACTTAATTCATACAACAATTTGTTTTCAACTGGTCAGGATGGAAAAATACTTAGAGGAAGTAAACAGGGAGAATGGGAGAGGGAATTAATTGGAATGGTCTTCATAAATAAAACAGACAACTATGGAGATGGACCCTGTCCTTTAAGAGAAATAGGGCTGTTTTCTACCAAGAAATCAAAAGGTCAATCAGAAAACGAATTCCCAACTTCTGTCAGAAGGATAAATGAGTACTGGGGTACTACTCTACTCCACACTTAGGTGAAGAACTCTGCCTTTTTTGCTAGAGGGCAAGCAAGTGGCCAGTGGAGAGATGTTAGACTTTCTTTGCAAATCAGTTTTTTAAAGTTCTCAACTTTTCAAGGGGTAAATAAAGCCAACCCCAAAAGGTTACACACTGTGCGATCCCATTTATATAATATTCCTGAAATGACAAAACTATGGAATGGAGAACAGGTTTTAGGAGGAGGAGAAGGGGGAGGGATGGCTGTGTCTATAAAAGGGATGCACAAGGAATGTTGGTGATGGAGCTGTTCTGTATCGTACTGTGGTGAGTGGTCACATGAGTCTGCACATGTGATAAAACGGTACAGAACTAAATGCAAACACACACACAAGTTAAGTGCATGTAAAACTGGAGAAATCTGAATAAAGTCTGTGGATTTTATCAATTTCTTGCTATGATATTGTACTACAGTTATGTAAGATGCTACCATTAGGGAAAACCAGATGAAGGGGATATGGGATTTCTCTGTACCATTTCTTACATGTGCATGTGAATCTATAATTATCTCAGAATAAGATTTT